TGCCATTCACAAGTTCGGCACCAACGATACTTTGACCAGTAGTTAGTTGCTTTTTGACAATGCGCACGCGCAACTCAGTTACACTCAACGACCCCTGTTGGTCTATTTTAAAAATCTCATCGTTTCTCAAATTTCACCGTTTGCTGCGATTCTCACAGCGTACATGGTCATTGAAATCTCCTACAGTTATAGTGAATGGTTCCCTCAGTAATAATAAATGAAATCGGCTATTGATTACCAACGGTGCGACCATGCCCTTAGGCCTGGTCCCAAATGGTCTATGCTAGATAGTCCAAACCATCCATTTTTGTTGGGCGGTGTCAGTCAAACTATAGTCGTCGCTCGAACTTGTGCATGGATGGAGCTGAGTACCGTGGATCGTGCAGTTTCCACCTCCGTTGCTCGAACAGTTAAAACGACACTGGAGGGATCGGGAGTAGTCTCCAGGTTTCCCTGGCAAACTAAAGAGCTGCAATCCTGGACAAAATTGTTAAGACACTTGGCAAAAGCCATACACTCTCTAGCCCCCTCCCCCGGTCTATGTTGCCATGTCCAGCCTCAGCGCAGACCGGGCGCATAGACCCAACATTGTGTTTACCGTGTCGTTTGGTGAGTGTTTTCTGGCGTTGTTTGTGGAAAACAAAAATGACAGCAGACATTTAAGTATAGACAAATGTATATTTCGGGCAAATTGTACAAGGAAAAGCAAGATTATTATAATCCAATTTATATTTTGCGTGACTGTACAGTCACAACCGTTTTGCAGGAGTGCATCGTAGACAATGTACCATGGCATTTCTGCCCATAACTGTGCAAAATTATGTTTCGTTAATGTGAGGGGCCCATTTTGGTACAGAAATAGTTTAGAGTGTCCATCATGCCGTTCTCATGCACAGCAACTGGAGAAATACGGAATGATCAATACTTGTATTTATTTTGTAGAAACTGTTTAGAAATGAATGGTACATTTTGGCAGTATTCAATTTGGTTCTAAAGGGGACACAATTATTTGATTATGGGACTTTTTGCAGTGCCATGTTTGAAACTCCGAATTCCGATTTTAACTTATGGCCAACGACGCACGGGTTTACTAAAGTGACTACTTTAAGTTTCAGTCAGATCAAAATGAAATGTAACGTAGGTTACCGTGGGGGGAACTGAATGTGCTTAGCGCCTCTTGCGACGAGAACGGACTAAAACCCAAAGCTAATACTGATTTGACATCCATTGCATTCTCGATGTCATTTTCTGTTGTTGAAATTCCAGCAACCAGGGATTGTTCGTTTCTTTCGTGTTTATTTCATCATTTTCTTCCTTGTATTTTTGGGCAGACCTGTCTGGCCAGTGAGGGATCAACCGTTCACAAGAATGAACGGCAGTTGCAACGCATTTGTTGCAACTTTGGGTGACTCAAGAAGATATGGGACGTATCTTTTGTGAAAATTCTCTTGTAAATGTCAAATTATTCTGCAGTTGAACGCAAACGAAATTTGTTGTTATAAGAAATGAAAATGTATTTCCATCAATAAAGCTGGGAAGCTAGTTCCGCCTAACTGTGCCAACCCTTGATCTGTTTCTATTCAATCATCAATAATAAACATTCACTATACACATTGCTGTTTTTATATTGAGATCACTTACAAGAAATGAAATCAACACGGTTGGGATCGGTTTCACTGTTGAAAATTCAAGAAATTGAGATTAGAAATGAAGTATTATCAGCATCAATCCTGTAGCTCACTGTATTCATACCTTAAAAAATGGGAAATAAAAAAAAAATGTGGTGAGGGAAAAAACCAAAAGTTAT